GGGATGGGGTTTTTCTGGCAGATGATTTTATTCCCACAACAAAACCTCAGGTTTGTATCTCGGTGCTCTATTATTGCCGTCACTGCTGCTAATGTTTAGCTAAAGCGGGTTTTATTAGAATATAAGGGCATGTTATAAGGTGTGTTTCCTTGCAGTGCTTATCATCCAGGGTCCTCCAAATGCTTCAGGGATGAGGGGAACGGAGGGGGTGGGTGGGGAGGATCGAGACATGGGACACGAACCCCCTCGTCCTGCTTGGCCGAGCTGCAGGTGAGTCGGGGCTGTAGCCCATCACTTGCAGACAGGTGAATGATGGATTTTACTCTTGGAGCTTCCTGGGCTTTCTGCAGGTTCAAAATAAGGTTTAACGAGAGCCCAAGCCTGGAGCAAAATCTGTTCTGGAGCTTCTGCCTGGAGCCAGGCTGGCACTTCCCTACTGCTGACTGTGGGGCACAGCGCAGCTCCCGCAGCATCCGATGGGGAGAAGCGAGAAACGCCAGGAGCAGCAAGTGGGGAGGGCAGGGAGAGAGGCCTTAAACACCAGAGCTCACGCTTTCCGTTTCCTGTTCCACAAACTCATTATCCCCAAACCCTTCAACTCAGCCTCAGCATTTGGAAAATGAGTATTTTAAGTGATCTTTTTGCATGGGTGCACCCAACCCTTCCCCGTGTTTTGGGGCACACTGGCTGGCCACGCGCAGGCACAGGAGACTCACACATTGTCGGTCATTTTTCCACCATCCTGTATACACCTTCTTGTGTTCCTTGGTGCCGGGGTCGGGAATGCTGTAGGAGCCATAACCATCCCGTCTGCCGAACCTCCAGTCACCGCTGTAAATCGCTCCGGTGCGTCTCCATACCTGGGTGCCTTTACCTGTTCAGGAAAGAGGGATTACGGGGGGACCATGGCTGTTGGGGAGGAGGGTTTACAGGGCTGTTTTCCACTGCAGGCGCGGAGCGCTCCCTGCGCCGAGGCGGCTTTATGTCTGGGATTCAGTTCAGCTTCCCAAATCGGACGCATCATTGGTCGGGGGCTTCCTGTGTGCCCTCTGCTGAACGCGCTGAAACCTTTCCAAACCTCAGTTTGCTGCTTGTAAACAAGCCTGACCTGCTCCAGGGCTTTGTCTGGAGCACCCGCCTCGACTGGAGAAGGAGTATTCCGGAAGCCAGTCAGGAGCCGAGAGAGCTCCAGGGGCTGCGCAGCCAGGGCTCGTCCCGCTGCAGTTTGCTGGCTTTGTAAGGGCGTTTTTAAACATCTGTAATGTAGATATTGCAGGTGACTGCCCCCGAGTGCCTGCAAAAGCTCTTCTGGTCACCTGTCACACCCTGAGCACAGAATGCGGGACATCTGTCAGACACACAAACGTGCAGTCGTGCGTGAACGAACGGTGTCCCAGGGGCATGTCCAGCCACCCACCGCTGCCTGCCCCTGGGAACCTCTGTAAGGACGCCGAAATGGGTACTTCTTGTCAAAATGCTCTATCTCACCGTGTTTCAAGTTGTCCAGCCATTCTCCGGTGTACTTATCCCCGTTCGCAGCGTAGACCGTGTGTCTTAACCCACACTTCTGGGCTTTCCTGTCCCATTCGTGCCAGAGAGGCTCGGTAGCCTGGGGGTATCTTACAATGGGCATATTGTTGGTGGCTGGAGAGGAAAACGAAGGATTGTCAGCCATAAATTAGGAGAGATTACAAGGCAGGTAGGGGCAGAAGAGTCTCTTTGGGAGCTATGCTTCCAGGGGCACCTGATCCGGTAACTGATGCCTGGCTTTGGAGGGGTCAGCAGAGATGTGACAAAGAGGAGGTACCTAGGAACGCTGCGGGACAAAGCAGCACTATGCATGAGGCTGTGGGGAGCATGGGCAGGGCGGGGGGTGCAGGCAGGGCGGGGGGACCTGCTCAGGTGCTGCATTGTGAGCTCACACCTAGGGAGGGTCCTGCCCGGCTGCGGCGGGGGGGGCGGTCACTCCCCCTTCAGCGGCTCAAAGCAGATGTTTTGAGGACGGGGTTGTCTGTGATGGCAGATGAGGATTTGGCAGCTGGAGTCCCCTGGCCACGCCACCCACCTGGGAGCAGGTGAAGTCCCGTTTGCAAAGTCCCCTCCAAATGTACAACAGCAATA